TATAAAGAGCTCATGCACCTCAACAACCAAAAGGCAAATAACCCGACAAAAAATAGGCAGAGGATCTGAACACACAAATCTCCAAAGAAGAAATTCAGATGGCCAAGAGGCACATGAAAAGATGCTCCACATCGCTAATTATCAGAGAAATGCAAATTCAGACCACAATGAGATATCACCTCACAACAGTCAGGATGGCCACCATGCAAAAGACAAACAACCACACATGCTGACGAGGTTGTGGAGAAAGGGGAATCCTCCTACACTGCTGGTGGGAATGTAAATTAGTTCAACCACTGTGGAAAGCATTAAGGACGTTCCTCAAAAAACTCAACATAGAAATGCCATTTGGCCCAGGAATTCCACTCCTAGGAATTTAACCTAAGAACGCAGCAGCCCAGTTTGAAAAAGACATATGCACCCCTATGTTTATTGCAGCACCACTTACAATAGCCAAGAAATGGAAGCAACCTAAGTGTCCGACAGTAGATGAATGGATAAAGAAGATGTGGTACATATACACAATGGAATATTATTCAGCCATAAGAAGAAAACAAATCCTACCATTTACAGCAACATGGATGGAGCTAGAGGGTATTATGCTCAGTGAAATAAGCCAGGCAGAGAAAGACAAGTATCAAATGATTTCACTCATATGTCAAGTATAAGAACGAAGAAAAAACTGAATCACAGAACCCAAGAATGGACTAACAGTGACTAAAGGGAAAGGAACTGGGGAGGATGCGTGGGAAGCGAGGGATAAGGGGAAAAGGGGGCATTACGATTAGTGCACATAATATAGGGGGTTGGGGAGGGTAGGCACAGGCAAGGCAGTATAGCACAGAGAAGACTAGTGACTCTATAGCATCTTACTATGCTGATAGACAGTGACTGTAATGGGGTATGTGGTGGGGACTTGATAACAGGGGGAAATCTAGTAACCACAATGCTGCTAACGTAAGTGTATATTAATTATACCAAAATAAATGAATAAATAATCAATTAATTAAAAAAGTGAATGTGTACTCGAATAACTAAAAATCATTCATGAAAGAGGTGATTTCAGTGTCAGCCCAATATATTGTGTTTTCAATTGGAAGGAAACATCATGAACCAGTTAAAATCTTGGTATCTGCTTCTAGACAGGAAATCCGACACAAAATCTAAAACTGCCAGGAACGGTTACAGAAACTCGAGTTTTGTGTCCAGGAGGGGAGGGAGAAAGGGAGCCAGGGAGCCTGGGTAGCGGCAGAGAGTTGGCACTCAAACACACATTTCCTCATTTTACTGGAAGGTACAGCAATCCCAGCAACACCTTTATTGCCCTAGTCCAAAAAATCGTTTTAAAAATAATGCAGGACAGTGACTGTAATGGGGTATGTGGTGGATACTTGATAATGGGGACAATCTAGTAACCACAATGCTGCTCAGGTAAGTGAATATTAATGATACTAACTAACTAACTAACTAACTAACTAACTAACTAACTAACTAACAACAACGCAGGAGCCAAAAGGAGCCGCTTGGTCAGAAACCTACGCGAAATTCCTAACACAGCCTGGGCTGCAGACGGCGACAGGGTCGTTGCCGCCCATTACTGTACAAACAGGTACCCGGTCTCCGGGCGGGGGCCCGCGCCAGAGCACCCCGCCCCCGGGCGGGCAACTCTCCCTCCTCTCGCCACAGGACCTGTCCAGACAACAGCAATCAGCAGACATTTCACTGTTCACTGAACAAGAGGTAGAGAACAGCACAGAATCGGCCCCGAGATAAGCAGACACGCAAGCAACTCACACAAATCAATAAACACTGCAGCTGCAGCGCCGGCAGCGGACGCGCGCGACCCTCGGTTAGTTCGCTCCTCCCCGACCCGCCAGCCACCCCAGACCCAGCGCGCCATCCAAGCTCCGTTACCCGGGTGCAGCGCTCCACGACTCTGGCCGGATAACAACTTCCCCAAAAACACCAAAGAGAAAAAAGGTGTCCACGCAGAGCCCCATCCCGGAGCAAAGCAGCTCTCCCGGGCGAGGGGAACTGTCTGTGGTGCCTCCCCGTCCCTGAGAACGGGTAACAACTCCGCAAAGGCACCTGCAGCCCAGCTTGCCGCCAGCTCCAGGTCTCCCACGGCGGCAAGTAGGTGCCCGCTCGCGCCCGGAGTCCCCGGCCGCCGCGCCAGCTCCCCACGGAACGTG